TGTGTGTGTGTGTGTGTGTGTGTGTGTGTGTGTGTGTGTGTGTGTGTGTGTTTGCAGTGTGTGGCGGTGCATACAATGGGAAGCCAGGGTTCCAGTTGGGGGTTGGGGCAGCAAATACCGGGTGACCATGTGAGAGGGACCACGTCAACACCATCCGGATCTTAAGACATGCTCTTGCCGCCACTACCTTTACTTGAAGTTTCTGATGCATCTGCCGACTCTATGAATCTTTTGCGGCAGCAGTTGGTGGCAAGGGCCATGCAAGCTGGCGGTCTGCCCGTTGTGCATTTTTCCCTCTAATGGAAGCAATACAGGCGTTGATGGCAGTGTTTCGCCGCCTGTGTTTTTTAGAATCGTTGGGCACAAGAGGGGCTCTTCTATGTCGATTCGTCCGACTCTCGACAGCCAAACGATCAATGCAGTAGGAGAGGTCTGGCGGGATCCGGGGTTGGGTTCCCGACAGACCGTCTGCAGACCCGCAGGTGAGGATGAGGGGGGGCGCTGGCGCTCACCGCTGGGACCTATCTCGTCCCCATTGTCAGGTCGCGACAAAGGGTTGACCACATCCTCTGGCCCTATGTTCTTGCCATCTCCTTCAACCGGATGTGGTGCCCTGGTGGACACATTTGTTGATGTGTGTTCGACGCCACCTTCCGTAACACCTCTCGGGTTTGCTTCGGCCATGGAGGGCGTGCGGTCAACCGGGACAGGGTAAATGGGCACGGCCTGCCCTGCATTGGGAAAACGTCCGGCCAGCACTGCGTTCGAGCCATATACTACAGTAACTACACTGTCGGCCTGCATGTATGAGGGAGTCACATAGGAAGTCGGCAGCTGCGGCGGCGTGACCGTCAATGTGCAAGCGAACGGTGGTGATGGTTTTGGTGGGTTTGGCGGATCGCAATGGCGGGACGGTGGCATGGCACGTGGCCGTCCGTATGGCGAAAGTCCGGAAGTAGACGCGAGGTCTGCGGGAGCGGGCGCACCAGTGGGCGGGCAAGGGACCGCGGTTGACATGCAGTGGACTGTCATGCCGTCCCCGATGCCTTCCAGGGATGACTGTCGGGGGATGGGAGAGAACAGGTCAAGCGGTGGGGCTGCCTGCAATGTGGATACGTATATGCATGTCGAGGAGGGGTTCGGCAACGACATGTCGTCCGGAAACACAGTTCCCGTGCATCATCCTAGCAGGGATAGTGATGTAGACAATGGATATGGTGGGCAAGGAACAAGCCCACAGGCGGATGAGGGTTTGGAACCTCTTCATGCTAATCGCGAGCAGGAAGGTTGTGATGGCAGGCAAAAGCCGCAGTTGTCTCAAGGAGAGACGACACCGTCGGAGGAGGGCGGTTCACAAGGAGCGGCACGAGCCCGCAAACGAGGAGATTGGGCCCATCTCGACACTATGACACTCATTCGTGCAAAAGGCAACCGGCACGTCGCTCGTGCACTCAACTCCGAAGACATTGGCAACGGCCGGACATCCAAGAAAGCTTGGGAGGAGATAGCGAAAGTTTTGGCCGCTGCAGGCATGAGAAAGACGTGGCTTGAATGCCGGACGAGGTGGCGGAATGTATGGGCCACGTACAAACAAGTGACAGCCCTTCATAGGGGTAGTGGGGCACAGAGCTACTGGAGGATGACCTCCGCTGAGCGTCAGGAGAAGGGCTTCAATTTCATCCTTCGTAAGGACTGGTTTGATCTATTGGAGGTGTACTTCTGGAACGACAGGTCTGTTCATCCCTCAGGCTGTGAAGATCCAGGGAGCAGATTCGAGGAGGGGCATAATTGCTCGCCCTTCGGTGCACCTGCTGAACGCACTGCCTCACCGGCCACTGCTCCCAGTGAGGGAGCAGATGCTGCTGCTTCCGACAGTGCCCACACGGAGGGAGCACGCGATAGTGTTCCATCTCTCTCTTACAAGAAGACACAGACTGCCCAGAACGCAAGAGATAAGTCAATGAAAGAATTGGGAGGTTGGATGCGGGAACAGACTGGCGCCTTGAAGCACCATACTAACACAACCTTGCAGTGCGCGGAGCTGACTGTGTCCGTCATCGATCGTCAGTCGGCTACTGCTGCTGCCGTGCAGCGTGATTGTGCGCAGTTGATTGCAGAAAAGATGGAATTTGGTTGGAAGGTCATTGCCGATCTTGTGAGGGAATCCTAGTTAGCCCGTGCGAACTCTGCTGCTTGTCCTCCACCAGGCGAGCCCCCGAGCAGGGACCAGGGTACAGCCACCATGAGCTGTTCCCAGGACACAGAGGAGTTCCGGGGTTCCGCTCGGCACGCGTGATACCTCCCAATTCTGGTGCTGTCGGCTGGCGGCAAGCCTGCCGTGTTCCGTCTTTTTTTTTTTTTTTTTTTTTTTTTTTCCTCTTCTTCTTCAGATGCTTTTCCGGACGCTGTGTATGTTTCGTCCTTTGCAGGGCCTTTCGTGGTCGTGTTGGCGCAAGGATTCAGAGAAGATGATTCCAGTGCTGTTTATGTTGTTCGGACCCTTTGAATTCAGTTTTTCAGAGAGTGATGTGTACCTGCAGATATGGAACACATAAGCGATCAGTCACAATCAATAAGGTTGCAGAGAGAGAGAGAGAGAGAGAGAGAGAGAGAGAGAGAGAGAGAGAGAGAGAGAGAGCGGCCCTCTGTGTGTGTGTGTGACACCTGTGTACCATATCTGTAGGACTGTGTATAATATTTGTAGGGCTGTGTACCATAGCCGTGAGGCCATGTAGGGCCATGTACCATAGCTGCAAGGCCGTGTTCCATAGCTGCATGGCAGTGTTCCATACCTGCCAGGCCGTGTTCCATAGCTGCAAGGCAGTGTTCCATAACTGTAAGGACGTGCAGTACGGCGTGTACCATAGGATTTAGACCCTGTACGCTAGAAACAGTAGATGCGGACCCGTAGGAGATGTTTGTTGTTTTTTTTTCCGGGGACAACAAGTATGCAGGTAGAGGTAGGGTGAATGCCGGGGGGGGGAGTTTGTTTGTAACTTTGTAATAAATTGTACGCTGAGGCGTACATCATCTAAACTCGGCCTCTCTCTCTCTCTCTCTCTCTCTCTCTCTCTCTCTCTCTCT